ATTGAGTCTAAAGGAATTCCAATGAAACAGGCGCCAAATGGATCTGAAGGTGGAGCTAGTGATAGGCAGAAAGATTCCTGCCTTGTTCTGTTAGCCTATGGAATCCTCATGTTAGCTCGCTGCTTTATCTTGTATACCCCCTGCATTTCTTAATCACTCCACTAAGCAACATTGTTAATATTTGCCAGACTGGTGCCATTGTCGCCCTTGTGGTCCATCATGCCTGCGCTTTGCCCAAACTGCTTTAGCTTGTTCTCACTCCAAATCTCTCAAGCGATGTGTTTGTGGTATTGCTATTCTTCCTCTACATTCTGTAGCTAGTATCTTGCTCTCTAGCACAATTTGATTTACTACAGCAATTAAAGCAAGTTTAAACTGCAATTGCAGTAACAATCTTTGCTTCTATATTTCTATCAAAGATACATCTTAGAGAAAACTCTGATATCTTCTTGAGTTATGCCTTAAAAATTTAGCTAATGCCATTCTCGGGGTACTAGTGTTAAGTGTGTAAGAGCAGTTATTGCATATTATGTTGACAGGCTTAAATTATTGCTTTTCCCTCGGACCACTAATCAATTATGTTCTTGACAAACTTGTCGCCAAGTTTTTTAGTAACACTTGATACAATGAACCTTAAGCCATGGCTTACATGCACAACTATGCAGATACCAAGCATTTTCTCTCTGACTTACAACTTGTGAGGGAAGTGAAGGTCCACGTTGCTGGAATCCAACGAATGCCTTTATCTGTAAGTAAGCACATAGACCTTCTTCCTCTTCATTTCACTGTAGCTGGTCCTTGCCACAACCCTGCTGCTGGACTTTTGAACATGACCTGAATGCCGTCAGGCAATTCCTCCCTTGGATTACGTGTGAGGGCATGATGCACAAGAATACCTGCATCTTCCCTATCTCCTATTGTTCTGAGCTAATTTGGCACAAAATTGGCTTTAGCTGTTTTTTTCTCAGGGGATAACCCTGGAGTTCCCCCTTTTTGTTTTTGCAGCATGTCCTTGAACATCTGATGGGCACGCTCAATAATTGCCTGTCCAGTAGGATTGTGAGAAATACAAGGGTCATGTCAAATACCCCATAAATTACAGAAACCTTTGAATATTAAGGAACATCAAGCAGGACTATTGTCAGTCTTAATTGCTAAGGGGACACCTAATGCGGCGAAGAAATTGAACAAATATTTCTCAACATGACGTCTCACCTGTTAAGGGAGTACCCTGTAAAACACAAGCATAGGTATCAATGCAAACATGTACAAATTTTTCCTGACCAAATTCTTCTACATGAGTTATATCCATTTGCCATAACCGCAAGACCTGAGTACCCCTAGGGCTAACACTATGCCTAAACCAATGCCATCTCGTTGACCGGTCAGGACAGGATCATGCAATACTAGAAGCATCAGCAAAGGGAATAGCAAATTTTTTATCTAACATTTTTGCAGATTGATGAAGAAATACATGGGAGGTTTTGGCCTGTCAGCCTGTGCCACTTCCCTGTCACCTCAGTGCCACCATGGCCCTCGGCTGCCCCACAGCCCTCAGCCCCAGCAGCAGCTCAGGGTCAGCGTCCCTTCGGCGCCACCGCCCCCTCAGCCCCCTCAGCCCCCTCTGTCTCACCGTCCTTCAGCAGCTCCTCAGGGGACAGGGCCTGGGCCAGCGGCAGCTCCCACCGCTCCAGGGACAGCCGGGGCTGGAAGTGCTGCTCCGCCCGGCCCGGCCGCCAGCTCGGACCCAGCACAGGGACAGGGGACACAGGGGGAACCGGGGGAAAAGCAAGAGGTGAAAAAGGCAGCCGAGGAGGGAAAGAGGTAAAAATGCAGCCTGGGCTTACACAGCTCAATCTATGCACCTAAACTTCCACATACCTCTTACTAAATAACTAAGCATATTTCTAGATCTTTATCTAAGCATCTAAATTTAAGCATCTAAATGTAGGCATCTAAATGTAGGCATCTAAATGTAACTCTATTAATGCATAAATGTAGATCTCAAAATCTAGAAATGTAACTAATTCTATCCCATCTAGAACAATAGAGATCAATTTAACTATATAAATGTATATATATGCACATATAAACACACCTCTGTAAATCTATAAATGTAACTATATGGATATAGAAAGAGAATTGTAGAAATCGATAATTCTATGTGTACACTAAGGGATTCCACCCGTCTGATGCTCACAGGCTCTCCCTCTGGTCCTTCTTCCCATGCAGGGCAGCCCTCCTGACAAGGCAGATCAGCTGGAAGTCTGGGAAGCAAAGGGAACACATGGTCAATATTGGCCTCTCTGCATTATTTGCCCTTTTGGAATTAACTGCCCTTCTATCAAAGTCTGTAAAAGATGGGCCGAAAGGCAAAATCTCACTTGGCAATTTGTAGCCTGCTCTTCAAAGAGCCAGACTCCTTCCAGAAGTTTATAACTTCTGAAGTTTTGAAGTATCCCAATACACTGAAAGCCCTCAGTGTATTGGGATACTTTCGCAGGGCCAAGGGCCCCCATGAGAGCTTGAAACACAGACAGACCCAGCTGCCACAAAGAAGCCCAGCCTGGTTCTTTCTCTGTGCTGACAGAGACACCTCAGCGATGAACAGCTGGGTGACAAATGACCAGGTAATATTCGCTGAGGCATTTATGTATTAGCTTATGGACGTTGTTAGTGATTATAAGTATTTAGAAATAGCATCAGTTAGAACTCTTTTAGCTGCTTGTAATATAATAGAATCAATCAGCTTAAGTTTGCACTGCATTGCTCATAGAAACAGTAGCGTAATGAATATAATATCTATGCATCACTTATGGAAACAATTGTGTGATGAACATATTGTGTTATAGACCCTAGCAAAACATAACGGGAAAAAAGGCTTGTGTGTAACTAAAATCAGTGTAAGGCTGTCCACTGACCAACCTGTCCAAGTGATAAAATAACCCTGACACAAACCAGAGCACCAGAGGACAATTAGAGAATATCATGTGAAATTTAATGAGAACCTACTAAAGCCTTATCAGAGGATGTGAAACAGCAGGAGACACAAGCAGAAATAAAATATGTTGACCTGATGCACAGGATGTCATGCAGTAAACCTGAGTGCGAAGCAGTCAAATTAAGGAGTTCCCAAAAGATCAGAAAATTCCGAAGAATGCTTGAAAAATTCATGAAACACATGAATATACTTGCCTCTCAGCAAAGTAACACCATAAAGCTAACACTGACACTTAGCACCAGGTGTTGTTTGGGTGTTAGCCCCGAGCACCACAGTGCTGCAAATATTGTCTTTTTTTATCCTATCAGTATTAAAATTTAATAATTCTAAGCGTGAATTCTGTTTCTCACAGCTGTGAAGGAAAGAGCTCCCTAACAGGACTGCAGGCAGCACCAGCTTTGCTCAAGGATGCAGACCCAAAGTGCTCTCTCTCACCTTTAGCTCTCACTAATTTTAAGGGGTGATTTCAGATTTTCGTTGAGCTCCTGGTTTTGTGACTAATGATTTCCTTGGCCTCAGAGCTTCTGCTGCTTGTATTTTTAATGTATCTCACTACAGCTATCAGCAGAGTGCCACTACATGGATTTAATGCTTGGAGACAAAAAGCTCACATCTCTACACTGACCTTTTGCTGGGCTTTTCCTCTCTTGCTTCAAGAGTCACTCAGGGTTGCCTCCAGAGCACTGACATCCTGCAGCAAACTTATCCACGGACATCAGCACAAAATTGGGACACCTGGCTTGGTGACACAACTGCCACAAGGTCAGGTTTATTCCCTGCTCTCTTGCCCCAGCAGAGCACTCAGTGTCAGAGCCTCTGGAGAAGCGTGGAGGGCAGGGCTCAGGCAGGTTGTGCCCGTGCAGGATTTGAACTCAAGGCACCAGGAAGCACCAAGCCTGCAGACAGGAACTCAACCCTTCTCATCTCCCTCACTGCCAGAGGCAGGCTCAGAGCAGCCATCTCACCCCTCTCTAAACCAGTGGGGGCTCTGTCCTTACCAAGCTCCTCGCGGTCCTGGGAATTGTTCCTGCGGCTCTCGGTGCCAGGCAAAGCTCCCTCTGCTGCAGCTCTGCCCACAGGCTCCCCTCCTGAAGACTCAGGGTCAACAATAATATTGCCCTTGAAAGAGAAACTGACAGGCAGAAAACCTTCCACCACTTACAAAAAACACCTGGTCCAACAACTCCATGGCTCACACACTTCATCCCTTCTTCCTAACAACAACTCTGGGACCCAAAGCCCTTCAACTGTCAGAAAAATTGACTTCTCAATCACAGTCCAAAAGCTGTCAGAGCTGACAGTGTTGAACATGGGGGTGACACTGAACACATGGAATGGCTGCTAAGCAGGAGTCCTGCCAGCTCCTGGCAAAGGGATGTGCTCCTTCTTCCACAGCCCTGAGCACAGCAGTCTCATCCAGGCTGCAGCTTGGCAGGGACAGCATGGGAACACACATCTCTTCCCACAGAGATGCCCAAGAGCAAAGGGAAAGAGCTCTGCAACATGGACAGCAAGACTGGCCAGTTTGCCCAGCTGAGGATTTCCCAGATGGAAACTGGACTGCAGGCAGCAGCTTACTGAGAGGACAAGAAAGCTGCAGCTGCAGCCCAGCCCCAGCCACGGCTCTGGGAGCGCCCACACGCACGGCAGGGCTCACACAGCAGCAGCAGCTGCAGCCCAGCCCTTGCTTTGCCTTGGCTTTCCCACCCAAAAGAGGCACAGCCCACATCTGCTGCTGCAACAGAGGCACCTCTGGCATGCCCCTCCCTGCCCGGGACACTGGGCCTTCAGTGCCACTTCTCCAAACACTCTTCTCTTCTTTCCCATCAAACAAAGCCTCTTAGAACTTACAAAGCTTCCACTTCCTCACCACAAATGCTCCTGCATCAGGGGTTCTTCCCAGCACATAAGCAAAAGATACCGCGGGGTACGGAGGGCAGAGTTCTTGACCCTTTCCACTTCACGTACAAGCTTGCCAAGTGAAAATCATCCCTTATACGCCATATGTCAATACCATCTCCTCCTATTTTCGGTTCGTCACTTTTCTGTCTCCGCCTTCCTCACCACCTTTACCACGCATGCGCCACCACTCGGTTTGGTGGTTGCACAAATCTTTGGGGGGTGTCACTGATGAAGGCCCTAGAGTCTTCTTCGTTGTCCTTAATTCACCTTTGGGTTACACATGCGCATCAAGCCAGTACGTAGCCAGTACAGCCAATGTAAGCCAAGACTAACGTATCACTCCATCTACATATCAAGGCAATAAATCCCTTAGAATTAGCATTTGTTGGGACCGAACCAGGTTCTTGCTCATTTTTAGCAACTGTACCTTCAGCTTCTTTCCTGTGGTCCTTGAGAACAGCTGGTGGGAAGGGAGATGGAGCCCCTCCTCTCCCTCTCTTCTTTGGCATTACAACTTTTTAACTATTTATTATTCTCAAATATTAATTACTCTATCAATATCAATTACTGTTTCAAATTTTATCAGCACGAATGATACCTATTTATCACAATAATGGAGCTCTGCGCATTGTGTTTTAAGGCTTACAAGCAGGTATAGTGTTTGAAAGAAGCAAGCAGTGTTTTAACAAAAGCTACGTGTGCTTATAGTGGTTGCACAGAACTACTGTCAATATGCTTTTGCTTTGTGTGAGTGGTCAAAAAACTTTTCAAGTCAGTTGTACCATTAAGTTCATTGCCTCCTGCCAGGGATGTGAGCTGCTGGCATCTTCCCACTGTAACAACCATGTCATGAGACTGATGCTGGAAAACAAACAGCTCGAGGCGCGTTCCTCAGCAGTCCCGTCCGTTTCGTGATTCGTACAGAGACCCGCGGCCAGCAATACTCAGCTGAGGACCAGAAGAGACCGGAATAGCCCGGGCACTGCAGCTTCACTGCAAGGCATCCGGCAGCCTTGAGGGTACAAAGCGAGCACAGGTCGGAGCTGCTCGTGTCCGGAGCGAGCCCGGAGCAGCTCTCCCAGGCCGCAGCCCCTCCCAGGCCCAGCTCCGGGCGCAGCCGGGGCCGCTCCGCCTGCGCGGGGCCGCTGCCGGGGCGCTGTGGCGGCTCCTCCCGCGGGGCGGAGCTGAGGCGGCCCCGGCGGCCCCGGCCCGGCCCCGCTGCGCTCCGAGCGCGGCCCCGGAGCGGCCCGGCCGAGGCGGCGAGGGACGGGCGGCGAGGGGCCGGGGGCATGGGGCGCTCCGGGAACCGGCGGACATCCCGGCAGAGGGGAGAGAGACGTGGCAGAGGGAGGAGTGAGCGGGAGAGGGGAGAGATGCTGGGAGGAGGGGGAAAATCCCAGGAGAGCGGGACGAGCCCGGGAGTAGGGGAGATCACGGGACGGGGGCGGGGGTGAGATCCGTGGCAAAGGGTGGGTAGCCTTCCAAGAGGGTAGAGGCGGGGAAACAGGAAAGAGCCCTGGGAGAGGGGGGAGATCCTGGAAGAGGGAGGAGTAATCGGGAGAAGGGCAGATCCAGGGAGACGAATAAAAGCACTGGCTACAGCCCAGGAAAGGAGGGAGCTTGGGACAAAGGGTAGCTCGGGAATGGGGAAAAGCCGAGAGAGGAGGCAGAACCCAGGAGACAGGGGACAACCTGTGAACGGGGGGAGATCCGGAGTAGAGTGGAGAGGGCCTGGGAAAGAGGGGAAAGACATGAGAGAAGAGAGCCCAGTGGGGGGAGTCCAGGAGCAGAGGCTCCTGCAGGCGGACTGGGAACCCGGGGAGCCCGGAATCACGGAGTCCTGCAGCCGGGCCGAGAACGGGCGCGGGTCAGTGCGGTTCGGGAGAGCGTGGCTGCGGGGCTGGCTCCGGAGGCGGAGGCGCGTGGAAAGCGCTGCTCGGCAGCCCCGGCGGCGCTGAGAGCACAGCCCCGCCCGGGGAGGCAGCGCCACGGGCGCCGCTCGGCTTCCCAGCCCGGCCACGGCACCGCTCGGCTTCGCCGCCGGATCCGCGGCAGCTCGGAGCATCGCTCCCTGCCCGGGCCCGAGGCTCACCTGCGCCAGGTGCACCAGAGCATCGCCTCTGCCTTTACAACCCAGAGCGAGCAGTGCCCGGCAGGGACTGCAGATCCCCTTTGGTGGCAGAGAAAAAAGAGCAAGGAATCTTCCATGGGAGAACCTAGGCAATAGGATGGGGTGTCAGTGTCCAATGTGTTCAGATGCACTCACAATGGTACTATTGCTTTTGGCTCAGAACATGTAAAAGAAGTGGGCAGACACAAATCAGCAGCTGGTTGCAATATCCAGGGATCAGTTATCAGAAGAAAATGCTAGGCAACTGCTGGAATGCTTAATGGATGACTGATTACCCTTTGCCAAGTAATCTGGACTTGTTAGGGGCAGCATACTTATGTTTAAAAAATAACTCTAGAGATATTCTTAAGAAAATTTTGAAGAAAGGCTCATACACCCACATTTTAATGCAGTTGCTGTGGGTTTCATAAATGAAATCTGCTTTAATGTGTTGATGTTCCTAAAGATATGTGGGGGTTTTTTTTCACACATGCATGCATGCTAAATTTGAGAATCTAAGGTAAGGTCTTTTTATAGGGGATATGGAAGAGACAGGTCTTCAGCCAGCAATATGTCAGTGAGAGACAGCTGAGCGATGATTACTGAGAAGAAGAACAGCCCTGCAATAGAGGTGTGAGCTGCATTGCACAGCGCTTGCTGTGGGCCAGAGAGCACAAGCAGGCTGGCCTGGTGGGCCTGAATATTTCTGCCAAACACTCTGCATCTCACACCTTTGCTCGGGCTCAGTGCAGAAATGCAGGATTGCAGGCGCTTCCTCCCAGAGCTGCATGAGGCGCTGGCTGCTGCAGATGTGCCCTGCCAAGCTGTCCCTGCCTCACGCTGGCCTCGCTTCCCCTGGCACAAGAGCCGGGCCTGAAGGAGGCTGCCCTGTGCTCTAGCCTGCTGAGCAGCCCGGCTCCCTGCCCCGGTGCCCAGAGTGCTGCACACACTGCTGACCTTTGCCAAGAGTTGCAGGGCAGCCGGCAGAAGAGGAGGAATCCTCAGGCACCTCAGCGGCCCTCGGCTGCCCTTGGCCTTTCTCTGCTGCTGGGCACACTCCAGAAGGCCAATGCCTCCAGGCTGGGCTGTGCCCAGCACGGCTGCGCTTCCCCTCAGCAGCAGCCAGCTGCCACCTGGGCTCTGGGAGTGGAGGATTAACCCGCTGCCGGGAACAGGCACCCAGGGCCCGGCTGCTGCCTCTTGCAGCTCCAAGGGCCTCCTTCCAGCCTGCCTCTGCCAGGGCTCAGCCTGCTCCGGCCTCTGCCAGGGCTCTGCTGGGGCTCCACCCCAGCCAAGGCCGGGCCCACTCTCACCTCCCAGGCGCTGACAGCTCTGCACCACAGGAAACCTTCCCGAGCACCCTCTCTGATCTTTCTGCTTTCTCACTTGAGCAAGGCTCTCCTCCAACCAAAGAGATTATTGCATTTCGGGATACAAATCCAAGTGGTAGGAGCCCCAATGTTCTCCAGTCACAGCTGAAGGCCAGCATCTGCTCAGAGTGTTGGGCTGCCTCATTCTTCTTTTGGTGTTGCCTTCAAATGCCATTGCCCTTTCTGCCTCAAATAGAAATACCAAAGCTGTCCAAAAACAGACCAGTGGACCAGATTCCAAAGTCAGTGTGCTCTGGAGAGGATGAATGAAGAACATCCTTTTTCCCCACTTTCACACCATGCCAAAGACACCGTGTCACTTTCCACCTTTAAGAAACAACAGACAATTCAGAAGCAATTCTTGAGCGTATTCGCAGAGTGAGAAGGAAGGGAGTCTTCAAGGTGAGTTGTGGTTTCAGAAACTGTATTCATTTCCAATCCTACTCTGCAGTCCTATTAGACAATCCTACTCTAACCCTAACCTTAACCTTAATCCTAATCCCAATCCCAATCCTAATCCTAATATTAATCCTAATCCTAATCCTAATCCTAATCCTAATCTACAATCCTGCTGTAAACTGGTTGACGAATAAATGGTCTTGATGTGATTGTCACATTGTTGTCTCTCTCCTCTTCTTCACTGAAACAATCAGTGGCACCAGGCTGGACGCAGGCTCAGCAAATGTTACAAATGGATGCTGCCAAAAAGGGAAAAAAAACAAATCAACAAAAAATAATGGACCATGACTTTCCAAGCTCAGTGCTTCACAGGATTCCTCTGGCCTATAGAAGGATGCAGGAAGAGGACCAATGGGACCATCTACACCTCCATCTTTATGTGCCGGACATTGCCATCTCCGGGAAATGTGGCCCAGAATCCCACTCATCTATTTATCCAGGTGTCTTCATCTTGCTAGGATTTTTGCCCTGCCAGTGCCTTAGAAACGGTGCTTTCTGTCCTTGGAGTTTCTTCTTTTCAGGAATCTCTAAAGCCTCACACTGGTCCCTCTCTTTGAAAGACAGGCACTGTGCTGATTCCAACAGGGAGACAGAGCAGCATCTACCTTTCCATGCCCTGCCACTCGTGTGCTGGATGGCTCCTTCCTTCCCAGCAGGGCCAGCTCAGTGGCACTGGGCCCTGCAGTTCCCTCTTTGCCACACAACCCGGTAGTAACCCTGGCACAGTTCCCGTCTGCTTGAGCGTGCCAGGCAGCAGATGGGGCTGGGACAAGTCTCTCCCAGCTGTGCCTGTTTGCGTGGCAGAAACCTCTAAGGGTGGGCTGGGGGGCGCAAACCAGGGCCCCTCAGAGGCTCACAGTGAGCCCCCCAAGACTCCTCCTGCCCACGGCCAAATCTCTGACCCCTAGGCTGGGACTGGCTTCCTTGGGTTCCTGCACCACCATTTCATGTCTCTGTACCCTGCATTGCTCTACTTCAATTCTTTTGCCATTAGATAAAATTGAACACCCCACCAAATGACAAAAGAGGGCGACCAAACCAGCCAGAGGAGCTCCCTGACTCAGGAAATGCAGAGAGAGATGGAGTTACTCAGTTTTGTGAAGAACAGGCCCCAGGGAGACTTTATTGCCACTTTCCAAGACTTCAGAGTGGCTTTGAAGAAAGTGAGTGACATCTTTTTTAACAGGGCCACTTACAATAAGATGTGGGTAAATATTT